CAGCCTGTGCCAGGGCTCTGTCACCCTCACTGAGAAGAAGTTTCTTCTCAAATTTAAGTGGAACCTCTTGTGTTCCGGCTTGATTCCATTACCCTTTGTCCTATCATTGTTTGCCACTGAGAAGAGCCTGGCTCCATCCTCATGTCACTCCCCCTTTATATATTTATAAACACTAATAAGGTCACCCCTTAGTCTCCTCTTCTCCAGACTAAAGAGACCCAGCTCCCTCAGTCTTCCCTCATAAGGGAGGTGCTGCACTCCCTTAATCTTTGTGGCTCTGCACTGAACTCTCTCCAGCAGTTCCCTGCCCTTCTTGAACTGAAGGGCCCAGAACTGGACACAATATTCCAGATGCGGTCTCACATTATTGTTTCATGCATCAGCTGATTTTCACCTGAAGCCCCCATCCAGGGTTTCTTTTGCCCAGGATTGGTTATCTAGTGAGAGACAATGAAATCTCAACGCCAGTGAGAGATCCAGGGGTTTTCAGATAAGCCTTTGTCTGATGTGAGTTTCAGGACTGACAAACTAAAACAGACCAACTATTGGTTATTTTTGCAGCCTCCAGATGCTGATGGTCTTGGAAGCACTGGTTCCCTGTTACTTGCAGAAACTGAAGCGACAAACCTCTCAAGTGGAGACTGTGACAGCAGCTCGTGAGGAGATTGCTGCTATGGCTGCCCTTGCCACCTCTTTGCAGGCCCTCTTGTACAGTGTAGAAGTTCTTACCAGGTAACTCAGGTGGTTCAAAGGTCTGAGCCTGCGTTTGGTTATCAGTGTGGGGAGATGGAATGCACAGGACGTCATGATATGCAGCTTAGCTTGAGTAACAGTTGAGTTTTAGACATGGTAAAATTAGTGCCAAATTTCACCAGATCACAAGCAGAATTTCAGTGTGCTTGTTAGATGTAGTCTTTAGTGTGCTGTTCACCTTCCCTTTGCCAGGCCTATGACAGCCCCACAGATGAGTCGATGTGACCAAGGCCATAAAGGGACCACAACAGCAAACCACACCATGTCAGCAGGTGTGAACACCAGGTAAACCAGTGGGCTTTTCCTTCTTTATTGTTTTTCTGAACAGCTTTTTTTTTGCTTTTTTTTTCCTTTTTTTTTTTTCCCTATAAAGTAGTGTGTCATTGCTCAGAGTGCCTCAGACAACTCTAGGTACTGTCAGAGAAAACAGTCAGGTAAAAAGAGCACATAGCCCAGGACTGCATTTCTGACAGTAACTGAAATCCCCAAGACTAGAATTGCTAGTTTAAAACCATGTGACTAAACAGAAGACCAGGATATCAAAATGGAGGACACCCATCCTAAATGTCCTTTTCTTTGTTTCCTTTTTCATAGTCTAGAAGAACACTGACAAAGCAACTACATTCCTCAGTTGTCTCTTTTGCTTGCTTCTGAGCCTGCTGTCTGAGGGACCACTGGGCAGAACAGATAGCAGAAGGGTCAGATCCTTTTGGCCTTATACTGAGAGACTGAATAGCAGTACAAACTCAAACTGCATGTCCTTTGAGACTCGCAGATACTGACAGCTCCTCTAGTTTTCTTTTCTTCCCTTTCCTGTTTCCTTTGACTTTGTCTACAATCTATCATCTGTACCTCCATACTGGCCTGGGGTATTTTTGCAATTACAGATAGCAAAGGAGTGGGCGGCATATAATTTGAGAAAAAGAGAAGAATGACTGAGAATATTTTTTCTTGTTTTTAAAAAAAAACCACACAAAAACCAACATAAAAGCTTCCTAAAAAAACTTCACGCAGAAGAAGGAAATAAGATAGAAGATGGCACCAGCCAACTGTAATACTGCTCCTTGGCTATATTGGCCATTCCAATTAGGCTGCTGCAATTTAGAACAGGCTTATTCAGAACAGGTTTACTCAGTCATAGCACATGAACTTAAGAAAACTTGGAACAAAATCCACCCATAAATTTAGGGATTATGCAGGTTTTCTCTGCAGTACTGATTACTCTTTTGGGCAGCAATGCCTTCTTCTGGCCAGGCTATGCCTTCCTAAGCTTAAAACCTGAATGTTTGTGCTGACCTGGAAAGCGAGTTCTCCGCTAGCAAAAGCTGAAGCAGCTGTTCTTCCAGAGCAGAGTATTTCCTCTTGACTTCTCTTTTGTCATTTACTTCCATTGCAAGATTGATTGACCAGTCTTAAAAAAATGAGCTGTAATGAAAAGTAGTGCTTTACTACTTGTTTGCTGATTTTGGAGAGCAGTTAATAGGTATCTGCTGACAGGCAATGTAGATGCCTGATGCTCTGTGACAGGCAGTTTACATTTCCAGATCTTTCTGATTATCAAGCGTTCAGTCTCTGATCCAAAATATATTTGCACTGCTTCACGTTTCCTAGCCTTGTTGCTTCTGTTGTGTTATCATTGCAACAGATATTTGCAGGAGTCTCATGATGGTAGAATGATCACTGTTCTGGCCTTGGATGTGTTAGCCAAGTGGTGTAGAATTTGTTAATATTTTCTCAATAAGAAGCAACAAGAGAAAATGACAGTAAAACAAAAAAATGTTGAGGTATTCTTTCCGCTAGGTGAGCTCTGGCTTCATGAAACAGACTGAGCACCAGGGTGGAAATCAGTAAGAGAAATTGTTTGAAAGAGGGCAAAGTATTTGAAGCCTGAATTTTTCCTTTCATAATGAGGGCAATAATTATAGTAATCCGTTGTTTGCTGCCAGCTGGGAGGTAAAGGCAGTGTGGTCGCTATGTGCAACCATTGTTCTAGTGACAGGAAGATACCATCCTGCCCAGAGCGAGTATACCTCTGGGCTAGAACAGCACCACCTTCTTTCTGAAAGGCACAGCTTAGGCACTACTAAGTTGCTGTTTATAACTGTGCTGTTTCTGGTTTTCCAGGTACCCAGAACAGGGAGCCAAACTACACTTTATCAGGTACAGTAAAATCTTCACCCAGTCTTCCCCGACATGTCATGAACTGTTCCCCAGCAATTTCTAGATTCACTGGGTCCCACCCACTGTTGCCATGAGAGGCAGCCCTTTTTCAGGATAGTTCATACAGAAAGTATTCACTTTTTTAACAGGATTTGCAGATTATAGTTTCCTTTTTTGTTTTTTTTTTAATTGCAGATGCTACTATCTTTCTTTTCAATTGTAGCAGAAAGTATCTGTTGCAAAAACAAGTTATTTTTTATAATCTATCCCTAGTGTTCTGCTGTATATAATACTTCCCAATTTTTCTCATTTTATATCCTCCAGGGAGAACCTTCACTTACTGGAGGAGGGCCAGGGTCTTCCCCGAGAGGAGCTGGATGAACGAATTGCCAGGGAGGAGTTCAGGAGGCCGCGGGAGTCATTGCTGAATATCTGCACAGAGTTTTACAAGCACTGTGGTCCAAGGCTGAAGATTTTGCAGAATCTGGCTGGTGAGCCCCGAGTGACATCTCTGGAGCTTCTGGATGTGAAGTCACACATGAGGTATTCCACAAGCATTCTGCTTTTACTTGTTCATTTCAGGGAGATTCCTTTCTTTAAACTCCTAAATTTTGTAATAGCAGACAGAATCACTTTTTCGCAGCACAGTTGCATGTTGCTGTCTGAAAAACGCAGAGCTTGTCTGGGATGTTCCTTAGATTGTAGCTGAGACTGCTAGTGTATAAGGAAGATTTTATGTGCTTCTTCTGGTCTCATTCAGACCCCCATCTCTAGTGGATGAAATAGCTCTGTGGAAGCCCATCCGACACATCAGAATAAGTTGCTGTTCATGGTCAACACAAAATAGTGCAACTTGCTATTGAGAAGTTTGTCTAGACATCAAAGACAACTGAGACAAGAGGGAAATGGACCTGATTCTGTTGTCAGTTTTTCGTTCATTTTCAGGGGAAACCCCTTTCTCACATAAGTATTCCCTCAGGAAACATAAGCTTATTGGAGTTGTTTCATGGTAAGATATCTCAATGAAAACCGCACAGATACTCTCCAAGTGAGCCACAGGTAGGGCTGTTCTGACTGGCACTTGTCAGAAGGAAAACTGGAATTAATATGAGGTGGCCCCAGTGTATCCCTTGGCAGGTCAATGACAGGTGGACAACTATCTGAATTCTTTTAAGAGACAGAGAAATACTTCAAGATCATTCTTGGAATAGAAGATAGCTAAAAACCAAGAGACTTTTTGTCTATGGCCTAAGCCAAACAGTGCTCAGAGTATTAAAGTAAATAGGAAAGATAGCAAAGATATTTTAAGCTGTTTGGTACTGGCCTCAAAAGTGAATTGGAACCACTTTAACAGTAATTTTTGTTGTTCCCTGAACCCCAAGAGGCCATTCTGGCTGTGGATTGTTCCTCTCTTTGAGCATGATACTTTTATCCTCAGGAATACCCTGTAAAGGAAGGCAAAGGGTGACAGACCCTAGCAATGCACTGAACTACCTCTATTTCCCTGGACCAAGGAAAAACATCTAAAATCTCTTCTACCTTTTACATACATGCTCTGAAAAGAATGACAAAGCCCGTTAGCTGGCAGATTCTGCCACAATTAGAGATCTTTGCATTCAGGCTGTCTCTATAGAACACAAAATTGTATTTGGCATTAATTTAGGTCTTGTTTAACAAATGCTCCAAATTCCTTTGGTAGTTGGGAGGTGTTTTTTGGTTTGCTTGTGTGTTTTCATATAAACTGAATGTTAATGTACCTCCCTCTGGCAAGTGTTTAATAATTTAAAAGATAATTTTAAATTTTAAAAGGTAATTTTTTAAACAAGAGATGTCTTTTTCCATAGATGCATGTCATTCTTATGTAGTGCTTGGCTGCAAACAAACTGAAAAGCTGGTGGACATGAGAGTTTTTGCAGTGCCATCTTTACATTTTTTCCCAAGGAACACAAACCTCGGAAATCAACAAATTTGTTTAGTTGTATTAAAAACTCTGTGACTTTTCACAATAGAAGCCCGAGATAAGAACTTTAATATTCTGTTAGAAATAAAGGTGAGATTCTCAGGACAGATTATGCCCTTGGTTAGACATGTTAGGGTTTGTTTTTTATGATTTCAGTGGGAGTGAGGAACATTTAGTGCAGTAAAGTAAGAGGCTTGCTTCTTTTTATTATCCTAATCTTACATTTGTATGTAACATAAGAATGCTCTAGTGTACTAACCAAGAAGTAACTGCTTTATTGGGGATGGAACATAAACTGATTTGTCATAGTTAGCCCTAAATAAAAGTGAATGTCATTTTGATTCTTACATCCATTAATTTCATAAGTATCCATGAAATGTCTGACAGGATTTAACTGCTATAGGCAAAAATCTTACTTCCAAGTAGAAAGCAGATTTACCAGAATGTGATGTGACAAGTCATGGTCTTGGGAGGCTGACAGATGCCATTTCAGAGACTTCAGAAAACAATATAATATGCTAGTCACTTCAGAGAGGATTAATCTCACCCAATTTTAGCCATTTAAAAGTTATATGTTTAGTCTGCAAAAGTCATAAAGATCTTTTGGGACCCAGTGAAAAGGGAAGTGTACATCCAGTGGGCTGTTTATCCCAGTATTTCAGGAAGATAAGAATTTCCCAGGTTGCTTATTTCTGTATGAATGGAGCTAGAAGATTAACTGAGCTTGATGTCTCAGTTTGGATGATATGGATGACACTTACGCACTTTATAATGCATAAGAAATTATCCATATACTGTTAAGTGCCACTAATATTGTAGTGCCAGAAAGAGGTATATTATATAAAAATTTAAATTGTGTGGTGTTTAGAAAACAGACGTACCTCACAGTAGGAAAAAGTAGTTGTAAACAGTAATAATAAAGAAATACTAGATAAAGAAATGCTTTTATGGAACTTTTGGTAATCTGAAGAACTCATTGCCCTTGATATTGGATAGGCAAATTTTAAAGAGAAGTACTTTCCGTTAGTTGAAGGCATTTCAGAAGAAGCCTGCACAATATGAATAGGATTGTACTGTAATCATCCACTACAAGTCTATTCATGTTGTTAGCTCAGTGGCTTGAGTGTGGTGCTGACAACAATGACAACACCGAGGTCACAGGTTCGATTCCTGCTCGTTCCCCATGTGTTGCCTGGTCTAGTCGAGAGGTGGCATCCCTGCCCATGACAGAGAGGTTGGATTAAATGATCTCTAAGGTCCCTTCCAACCTAGGCCATTCTATGTTTTGGGGAGTATACAGGTTTGTGTCCCTTTTATTAGTAGATGTAGCTTTATTACTTGTCTTTGTCTACCACAAATATTCAAATATTTCAGTAGGTCTATGTCAAACTGCAAGACTATGTTAAATATTGCCATGGTATTTCACAGTCAATACAGAAAATGCCATCAGCGAGGCCATCTGGGAGGTTTACAAGAAGCAACAGCAACACAATCTGTAGAGATGTTAGGAGAAACAAATCAAAGCTGCAGTGAGTAATCATACAAAGTACATGTTGTGTAAACCTATGGGATGGACATTCTTTTTAAAATTTAACACCTGAAAATTGCATAGTGAGACCTCTTAAAGTGGTGACACTGAAAAACAAGCACAAACCCAAACCAAATAATTCATTAATTGACGTACAGGTGATATTAAGTCCGTGTTTCACAGGCTTTAGCAATGTTGTAATCGTACTAAGAGTTCAGTCACTTTGTTTTTAGCTACACAAATCTATGATGCCTGATGTTCCTTTGGTGCATTTAATGTCAATGTAAAAGTATTTTTTAGACCATTCATGTGTACATAAATATAAATGATTCCAGCAAAAGAATCTTAATGTGGTGTCAGCTCTAAGTGTTTCAACAGCAGCACATTTGGCTTTCACATCTTTTTATTTTTACTAGGCTACTGAAGATTTATCTGTTAATTCACTGGCATGTGTGGAGAAATGCAAGTTGTATTTGATTTTCCTCTTAACAAACCCTGATTTTAGATTGGCAGAAATCGCACATTCCCTGCTAAAACTGGCACCTTATGACACACAGACGATGGAAAGCCGGGGTCTCCGGCGCTACATCATGGAGATGCTGCCCATCACTGACTGGACAGCTGAGGCGGTGAGACCTGCCCTTATCCTCATCTTAAAGAGATTGGATCGTATGTTCAATAAAATTCACAAGATGCCTACTTTGAGGTGAGCAGGTATAAAGGAAACCCTCTGGGGTCCGTTTCTGATGTTGCAAGCCTTGAAGTGTGGGTATGTCATCTCACTAAAACTGTCATGTTGCAATGCACAATGTATCAGAAAATGAAAAGATGTTTTATCTCTGTGAGTGTGCATTTATGTTGATGTTTCTGTTGTGTCTTCTGGTAGCAAGCAAAGAAGTGCATGGTTATTAAGAACTACAGAGAGAACTTTCAGAAATCTCATTTTTCTTTTTTCCAAAATAAGTCTTCAGATTTCTACCATCTCACTGCTCTCCTTATTTATTTTAGTGGTTAGTAGAGGAGAATACTGTTATGTTCTCTGTAAACGTGAAATTACTCTGGAGATATGTAGTAGCTTCGGAATGCTTCTTAGCAAAGACTACAGAACTGCATCGATTGCATCTAGTCAGTGGCTAATAAAAGCCTGGTGCATCCCACAGTAGCATTATGGGTGTAGACTTTGGTGACTTCAAGAAGCATTCAATATGGAGTGTTCCTACCTTGGAGAGAGTGTCTGGGTAGCATAAAATCTCTCAGCCCTGTGGATTTTCCAGTGATATGAATAAAAAGAGTCATTGGTCTCTCTCATCCGCATGGGTATATGTCCTCAAGTGCTTGAATCAGTCACTTGGTTGACAGTCTCAGCTGAGGAGCCCAGTGATGTTAGAGAACATCAGAATTTAGGACTTGGAGACAAAACTTTAGGTCTCACTGGGAATCATATGTGCCCAACTAAGATGGAGCAAATAACAGGGAGGTGATTTCTTCTTTCTGGCATCACTATCTATCACTTTCCTTTTACTAATAACATGCTTTAAGAAACTCCTGCCCTTTTAGGGAATTTAGAGGCATGTTTCTCCTTCCTGTCGGTTTTATTCTTTGCAATGTCTTGCCTTCTCCTCGCTCATTCTTTCTTTTCGCACTCATACTTTCTTCTGCCTCAAAGACAACTTAGAGGTCTTCCTGTTCCTGTGTAAGCTGAATGAATGCTCATAAACTAAAATTCCCTTCATATTCTCTCTGTGTCCTGTACCTATGCCTGACTGAGATTGCTTTTCCATACACAAAGGGACAGAGACAGCAAAGCCACTGGTCCAAATGCAGCAACTACATTTAAGCATCATTGCCCAAGAAGTCTCTCAGAGTTGGGGCTGGGTGCCAGACTGCAGGAGCCATCCACTGAGGTACTCAGAATTTTACACACTGTCTCCTGTGGGCACCGCACTCCAAAACCAGTGTCTGATGGAAGTAGTGTATGTGTAGGAACAAGTACAAGAACAAACTATTATTCTGGAGGTTTTGTAACAGTGGATGCTGAAAGAGAAGATGTATCTTGGTCTGCATAAGAACTTACATAGTGAACACCTTATACTCGATATGTCTCTAAGAAGTCTCCTGAGGAACTTGACTAAGATATTGTTTAGTCTTGAGCTGACAAGTTATGCAAACTTTGTCTTTCTGTCCCAGTAAGGGCACAGTCAGATGTTGGCTTGAGAACTATTCTGACTCCAAAAAAGCCAGGCTCTGAGATGAAGGATGTCAACCACTTTGATGTTTCCTGTGTCTGCTTATGATTAGGAAGAACTCCATTCAGCATCTGCCACAAGCCCTAAAAGCTGTTTTGGTGAAAAAAGCAAAGTGTCAGGGAAAAAGGGATCCTGGAACGAAGGATTTTGGTGCTCATAGGGAATGAATCAGCCCTCCTGCACAGGGTGAGGGAGATAAAGATTTTACTGCTAGGCCAGTTTGCGTTTAGCATAGGCTGTGTCTGGGAGTCACTCTGGCAGAGCAGACTAGACTGCAGAGTAGTTTTCAGAGGGCTCTCAGAGCTGATGGGCTTTGCTCCCTTCAGTGAGAACATCCACAAGCCACAAGAGATGGAGGAGCCACTTTCAGCTGGGAGCATGGCAGAGCAGACCCTTTCCCCATGCAGGCACACCTGAGGCAGCTGTCCTTCTGCTCACCATCTGCTGAAGGGAAGCATCAGGAAGTGACAGACAGTTCATCCGCCACTGCTGCCATCCGTGAGGGGGGCTTGTGTCACTCCCCCTCTGCTACGTTTGTCATCTCTGTCGCGCACTTTGTGCTCATCTGGGACGTCACTGCTGTCTGAAGCGTTTCCTCTGTGGGCGTCACTGTGTGTGGGTCGCCGTGTTTGCGAGTGTCTGGTGGGGGGCAGGAGGCCCGCGGCTAATGGCACCTACTGTTGTATTGCAGGCGCCAGGTTGAGTGGGAGCCTGCCAGCAATTTGATTGAAGGGGTTTGTTTGACACTTCAGAGGCAGCCAATCATATCCTTCCTGCCTCACCTTAGGTCTCTGATCAATGTGTGTGTCAATCTGGTGAGTAGCTGAGCGGCGACCCTGTGAACCTTTGCTAAACCTCACCCCCACCCCGCTGTTGACTTCTCTGGACTGAAGATGACAGTTCATTCCCATTCCTGTCATTTTACCTGTCCCCCTTACCCCTCGCAAAGGGGACTTCACAAGTGACACTAGAGATAGCAAGGTTCATTTTTGAAGTGGTGCATGGGGAGATACAGTGACCGGTAGCGGCGGTCAAGCGATTTATCTCCGTTGCTTCCCACGCACCACTTTGAAAATCCGCCTTCACCAGATTGAGCTGAGAGTTGAGGGCTGCAAGTTGGAGAGTGGGGTGGTGGAGACTGCACACACCTGGTAGAGACGGGGAGAGGGTGGCACTGGGGATTCCTACCGTCTCCAGTGGGGAAGGACCCTGATGGCTCTGTCAGAGGCCACCTGGGGCTGGCTAGTTAGAAGGGTTTACATGGGTGGATTCACTCCACTGTTTGCAATGTCCCTGGCTTGATCTAGTACAGGTTTGCACTGTACAATGTTCAGATCCCACTCTCAGTAGAATTTATGCTCCCAGGCATGTTGCAGCAGAGACGTGATACAGATATGGAGTCTGCCTGGTCATTCAGTAGTAGATTACAGTGTTTAGTCAGCCCTTAAATTTGGTAGCAACGTAGCTCCAGCCTTTTAGACAAACATGCATGCTCTCATTCCATGCAGAAAAAGTACGAATAAAGGGAGAAAGGCTGCACTAGCATTTTTACTGTTATTGGGTGTTAGAACATTTTCTCCTTAGAACATAAATGTTGTACTCATTCTAGTAGTTAAAAAAACCTCTTGGGGTTCACCAGGGGCTTTAAAGGCAATGATCATCAGCTAAAATGCAATATCAGGTTTTGCCAGGTTCCTGTGTCTCCAGTCCATTCAGCATTCATCGCTGCAAGGGCAGGAAAGCTCCAACCTGTCACGAGTCCATGAGACTTCTTCCTGGTTCGAGCAGAGGTAGTGACTTGGAGGCACTGCAAATCTGGGCCCTCAGACTACTTAGGGTTGCTACATGGGGAAGTTGCTACAAGATTAGCTCAAATACAACTTTAGAACAGACTTGCAGTTTGGCAAGCAGTCAGTCATGCCAGCAAGCTCTCCAAAGAGCCTGCATTAAGAGTTAGTCAGCGCTCTAAAAAAGTGCAGTTCTTCGGTGCAGTCATCATGCTTGCATCCACCTGGATGACACCATCAGGAAGAGCTACCAGGAAAAGATGTATTCTTACTGTTTAGGGTATTTTACTTTTAGCTGTCAGAACTATGGCTGCTCTGAGGTGTGGGAGCATCCCTGTCTTGCAGGCTGCATCATGTCTAGACTTGTTACATCACAATGCCCAAAAAGAGATCAGCCAGGAAGGCTGGGAAATATCTAAATGTTAATCCATAGTGATATAAAGAAAGGGCTCTGCCTCTTCCCCTTCTAAATTACCTTTGTGTTTTCTGGCAGAAAACTGGTTACTGCCTTTCTCCTCAGGCTGAATTTGGAAAAAAAAAAAAAAAAGAGAGTGCATTAATCTTTTTTAAGCTTAGATGTCTGCCAGGTAGCTTCTCCCTGTTCCTGTCATCTAGATGTGTGTAGTCATGGAAAGAAACAGGCGTATGCAAGTCTGTGATTTAATTTTTCCTGAGGGACACAGCCAAAACAGTTCAAATAACTCTTCCCTAGAAGTGCTATTTTCTTGTGCAGATATTTCAAGGAGTTTCAGACAACCAGGTCACATGCAGGTGATTCTGCTTCAGACATCTGGGGTCAGGTGAGATGAATCATACTTACAGTTCTGAAGAACACACTGTGTTTGAGAGGAATCTGAACATTGTACAAAACCCGGCTTGGGTCAGACTTAGGACATTATTTTTCAAGTAGATCAGCAAGAAAAGGGGAAAGATGTCCAGTTTCACTGCAGACTTTTTGCTTTGAGGACATATTTTTATTTGTTACAATCGTTACATGACATATCCTCCAACTCTAACTGTTCCACCGGTCCAGTGCTGGTCATTCAGGGCTGGTACCAGGTACATTTACAAATGTACCAAGTTACCTGTGCACTCCTCCCATCCTTGCTGGTTCCCTCTTCTCCCTTCCCTTTCCCTGCTAGAATTCCTTCTCACTGGCTCCAGCTCCTGCGAGGACCACTGAGGGGGCTGGTTCTCCTAGATCCACCCCAACTCAGTGCTCGATGGAAGGCACCTCCATTTCACTGCCATTGGAGGATATGACATGGATGAAACTGTAAGTAGTCAGTTGTGGTGATGTGCTCTGTTTGTATTGCAGGTGATGGGAGTGGTAGGACCCTCCAGTGTGGCTGACGGATTACCCCTTCTTCATCTCAGCCCTTATCTCTCGCCACCTCTGCCCTTCAGCACAGCTGTTGTCCGGCTTGTAGCATTGCAGATACAGGTGTGTCTGCCCTGGCCTGTGGCCAGGCCTGTTAGAGCTTCTGGTTGAGACACCAACTCATCGGTGCTCTGTTTTCTTTCTGCAAAAGCTGGGCAAAAACTGTGGAACATACTCCAAAAAAAATGACAGAGAAGCAACATGTAATTCTCCCTACTTTTTGGAGGCTTGAACTGAGTTTAGGAATATCGGAGCCAAGACCACAGCAAGCATCCCTCAGCTTAACACTGCCACTGATGTCCAGGAAGTTCGGCTGATTGATGCTGTTTAAGGCTCCAACAAGCACGTTAGGATTCTCTGTAGGATCTAAGGAGTTATAGCATAAGCCTCCTGCCACAGGGAGATGGGCCCTGGCTGGGGTCACAACCATGCAACCCTGCCTCTTTTCCTGCGGGACTGTGTGTGCAACTGAGAGTGGAGTTTGTGCTCTTCTGCTCTTACCTGAGTTGGTCACACAGTATGCCAGCTCAAAAAAGCAGGGCAAGTTGGCTTTTCAGCTGCTGACTCAACAGCAACCTTGCTGTCCAGAATCAAAAAAACCCCATCCTGGACTTTTTGGAGAATTTCATCACTATCGCTTTCTCATAGCAGTGCAATAACTATTACAGAGTCTTTCTGCCTCTGTGTCCCTTTCCCTCCTCTCTGGCATGACATCAGACAGAATGGTGACCAAAGAAGGAACAGATTTCCTAATTTAGCTCCAATTTGCATTTTTAAATATGCATTAGCACATCCAGCTTAATACTTCAGCAAGTATTTCTGAGCAGCTGGGCAGCTTGGGAAGGCTTATAGGGACCAAAATACAGTGCTATCCCTCAGAGCATGAGGCATGCAAGGAAGGACTGACACAAAAAGATTTCTTCCAGCTCTGAGGTAAAGGTTCTTTAATCAAAAGCAAAAAAAGGGCTACCTTCACCTTCTCTGAAATCTCTTCTCTTTTTTAAAACCAGATACCAAAATAATATTTTTTAAAAAAAAAATGTTGGCTGTTTTTACTTTTGTTATCCTCTTTTACCTGTTGACTCCTTCATAGGCTTTAAATACAATGAAAAACAAACCTGTCAGAAAAACACGAGTAGTCATAACTCCCTAATACTTCCAGCAGATATGAAACAGAAGTACTTCCACGCTCCACCAGAAAACATTTTATCCTGTAATTTCTGAGCCGATGTCTACAAGCTTGAGAGGTTCCAAGGTTCGGCTGCATTCCACAGCTAAGTCTGCAGCAGCTGGGAAGTTATAAATGAGCAGATGTTCTTGTGACAGTCATCTGAGTTACCTTCTCTACCGAAGTTGAAAGAGCATTCAATTTAGGCTTGACTATGTGTCAAGATATAAATATGCATTTTGTTTATTTTCCAGGAGTTAATTCTTTGCGTTAGAGAGGATGATTGGGCAGCACAAAGTGAGGCAGAATAAAAAATGTGTTGGAGAATAACCTCCATGTTGGGACGACAGAATACTTAGATTATGTCATTTGTGCAATTTCCTCTGTTCCTTTTCTTATTCCTCATAGTCTGCGTCAGATCCTGATACCAATCACAGCAGTGCAGAGTTTAGGACTAACACTCAGCTGACTCCTGTGAGATACATCTAATTTTATTAGTGACACCTGTGAGTTAGGAATCTGGGCTTCTTACATCTCGGCTATGACACGAGCAGGTGACATCTATGTTATTATGTGGATTCCTTTTACTCCTGACTAAGTGGTCTCAAGACCATGTAAACAGGGTGCCCAGGGGATTGTCGTTCCCTGCAGTAACTTGTGTGTGTGATCTGCTGATGAAATCATTTAATCCTTTTTTATTATTACTGCACAGGCTTTGAAAGAAGATTTCCCCCTAAGCCATGTCGTCTCCCCATTCACCAATCAGGAAAGAAGGGAAGGAATGCTTTTAAACCTACTGATTCCATTTGTGCTCACAGTAGGATCTGGAAGCAAAGGTCTGACTAATTTAACAGAAAGAATTTTTCTCCCCCTTTTCTGACAACTGATGCTTGCACTTTCCCTGCTCTCTGTTGTTGCCTTTTTATTTTTATTTTTAATTTGTTTTTCTGTCACTGGCAGTGTGTCAGCTAAGTGCCCTTTGGGTCTGAGACTGAACAGATGGGAGATGTTGCTGCTGTTGTTTCTTCTCTTTGTTTCAGCTGTGCCGTGGTTCTTGAGTCAGGTCTTACACAGATGTGCTCCTTCTTTTGAAACTGGAGTGCAGGGCGAGACAAATTTGTTGTAGCAGAAGCCACGGAGGGGAGCAGACGTCACAGAAATAGTGTGACCCTGTGGATCACAGTCTGCCCACCCCATGCCACTTGTCTGGCACAAGTCCTGCTCCTTGCTCTCTTCTATAGAGGGTGATCACTGGTAAATCCCCAAATGAAAGCAAAGAGTAAAGGGAAGGGGGAATGTCAAAAGGAACTGAGATCATGAAACCACTGAATGGGACATTTCTTTGTGCTGTTTAGCTCTGTGTTCGTGCGTGTTTGTGTTGGTGCTAAAATAAACTTTGCCTTTGCTTGCAGGAGGAGAAGCAGCATAACAAGTTGTGGGGGACGCAGTTTTGGCTTAGGGAACATTTGAGATTGCACCGCATTTTGGAACTGAACAGGGTCTGGATCTTTTGCTTGTCTTTGATGGGATGTAGCCTGATCTTTCTCTCTCTCTCCCCTCTCAACGCATCTCAGACAGTCCCTGGCTGGAGCAGCCTGAGGTCCTGCTGCTGCTCCAGACTGTTATCAATATCCTCCTGCCACCTCGCATCATCAGCACATCCCGCAGCAAGAATTTTATGCTGGAGAGCTCCCCTGCCCACTGCTCCACCCCAGGGGATGCGGGGAAGGACCTGAGGCGGGAAGGGCTCGCAGAGTCCACCAGCCAGGCTGCCTACCTGGGTGAGTGATGTCTTCTGCTGGCGACTGAGAAGAGACAAATAAAACTGAGCGTTCAAGACACTGCAGACAGTACCAAAGAAATCCTTCTCAGGCAGGAGTCAGTTGAGCTCTTTAAGGCTGCTTTAGGTCTTGTCCTGAACAAGGGGTCAGCCAGAGCGTGAAGCCAGTGGTATTTGTGGAAAATATTGCAACATAAGCAATGTCTGCACTGCAGCTGGAGGAGATTGCAGCACAGGTAGACGTTGCTCAGTTTTCATACTGCCAGAATACAGCAGTGAAGGCACAAAAGGCAACTCGAATTGCCTGTCAGCCCCTAATATGACAGCTTCACTGGCCCTTGGCTAGCTAAGGTGAAATGTGATGCAGTCTGTCTGTCTGCAGGCCCTGCACACACATGCCCATTACTGACTAGTATTCCCTCTTCTCACTGAATGGTGCTGCAAGGTAGTATATATTTTCTCACAGATGACCCAAAGGTGAAAGGAAAGAAAAAATAATCAAATTGAAGATGCAGCAGCACTGCAGGTTATCAGGCCTATATGGGGGGAGCTCTCACCCCTCCAAACAGCTTTTCTCTTTCTGAGTTTGTGAGGGCATTTATCCAAAGACTTATACTCAGGTCTTTGTTAATCTATATCTGAGGACTCGGGTAACACTGATGAAAAAATTGCAGTTTACCATTTACTTAGCCCCCTAACCCAACAAGCCTGGATATACAGATGTATAATGGCTGAGCTGTCTTGGCCATTCCATCAAGAAAGATGGAGTAGCCAACCTTCCCCTAACAATTCCCAAGCCTCCTTGTTTGTTCCAGATCAGGGGAGCATGGAAAGAGAAAGATTCCTTGTCTCTCCTGTGAGCTAACTCCTGGGCACTGCACAATTTAAGGTAGAGCATTGTTTTGAACCTCACTGCTGATAATCCCCATTTGTAATGCAGTGCCCTTATGAATTATGGCCCTTGGTTTACTGGAAAGTTCTTTTCATTACCCCATAAATAACCTGGAGGTTATTGTTCTCACAGGGTGACTCTTTGTGTGGATATGCTTAATCAAAATTTTTGAGGTTGTCTGATCAGCCAGGGCTGAACCCTCTCCCTGAGCTGCTTTCAAATTATCTGAATTCCAGGAAGACAAAAGAGCTCTGCTGGGAGAGAGAGGGGAAGCTAGAGCAAGAAAATACAGAGGAACTTAGGTGTAAATTAGGAAAACTTCTCTGGAAATGGGACTTTCGGTCCTAATCCTGAGACCTTTATTATAAGAAGGCTGCCCTCTTACCTTGCCACATTTAGAGACCAAACAGAAAAGACAGTTGTGACTCTGAGGTGTGTAGGTGTGCATGCAAGCCTGTGTAGGTTTTTGCCCACTGTGTTCCCCCCACCCCCCTTTCCTCTCTCAATGCTTGTAAGGGATGCTGCTCACATCTCTGACTTCCATTTGCTGGTGTGTGTTCCCATGTAGCCCTGAAGGTGATCCTTGTTTGCTTTGAACGTCAACTGGACAGCCAGTGGTACTGGCTGAGCCTGCAAGTCAAAGAGATGGCACTGCGGAAGGTGGGAGGGCTGGCCCTGTGGGATTTCCTCGACTTTATCGTACGAACACGGATCCCTATCTTTGTGCTCCTTCGGCCCTTCATCCAGTGCAAGGTAACAGTTGCTTTGGCTCCTGACAGATCACTCCCTGAAGGCAAGATATCCTTTACTGCCCTGCTAAGAGTGGAGGAACAGCACTCCTGGAAGAACTGTGTGTTTATGTAGGGAGTGACTTTTCAGAAGTTAGTTGGTCTGAGAACCCTTTGAAACTAAAGCACAGGGCTTTTTCCTAGACAACAGGAAAGAGTAAGCCAGTCATACAGGAGCTCTGATCCGTGGAGTACCGTTACTCTCAGTTTCCCTGGACAGGAAAGTACTATCAGGCTCGACCAAGGGGGTGTGCATGTGGACTTAATATTGTAACAACAACATTCAAAATACTTAGAAGTGGTGTAGATGCTCTGAATGTAGGAGGGTGTTAGCAGAAATCTTCCAGAAATCTCTCTCCTGTACAGATTTGGGCAATACAGCTAACAGCCAGAAAGGACCTCTCCACTTTTCATCTCTTGGGTGAAGGTTTCGATAAGGCTTTTGAAGATGGACAGACAGCACCAGGCTGAGGTAGCCAGAGCTTAAGTTAATCTTGCCTCTTCCCTGCTTGCCAGGTAGACTAGCACACGGTACTCCACCGTATTTAGCCTACCACATCTCACCACTTGGACAGACTAAATCATCTTGAAGGAAGAAGCTGTCTCATATCTGAGGGTAAAGCTTAGCATGCCTCCTCATCTCCCTATACCAATGTCAGTGAGGTTTTGATATCTGTTCAGTCAAATGTAAGGTTGTGTGAAAAACAGGTGGGAACCTCATAGCCGGAGTCAAAACCTCAAGCCTGCAGTGAGGACACTGCTGGCTGCAGGCTTATGCTGGTCTGGAGACGAGTCCCAGTTCCCTGGGCATCATTTCCTTGCAATGCTAACATGTCCCAATTTTGCAGCTGCTGGCCCAGCCGGCTGAGAACCACGAGGAGCTGACGGCCCGACAGCACATTGCCGACCAGCTGGAGAGACGGTTCATACCACGGCCGCTCTGCAAGAGCTCCCTCATTGCTGAATTCAACAACGAGCTGAAGATCCTGAAGGAAGCTGTGCACAGTGGGTCTGGTAAGGAGAAGAGCGAAGGGGAGAGCTAAGGGCCATCAGCCTGATCTGGCCAGCTGGCTCACCCGTCCATTAACCTGTGAGGCAGCCCTGCCTGCTGCCTAGAAGGGGAATGGGGTAATCCACCCACACCCCGACAGCCTGCCCCTATGCTCAGCCTAACATTGCTGTCCTAACTTCTGTCTAGGTTAGTTGTGAAATGCACCTTGTCATGCTCATTTTTTTCACTGGGTCCTACTTCTCAGCAGCCGCCTCTCACTGTCACAGCTGGCTTGTGCAGCCCCAACCCACAGTGCAGCAAGACACTACCTGCATCTCTGTAAATTCAAAGCTGTGCAGAAACGTCTGTCTGTTTGTCAGCAGCAGATTTGCCTCCTCCTTACTCCTCTTGGTCTCTTTTCGATTTTCTCCACTGTGAGGTCCAGATCAGCATCCCTGAGCTGATGAGGACTTGGATGAGGAGACACTTTTCTGCACCAGTCACCCTTGCTGCCACGAGATGGCAGCCACTGCTTGCACACGGCAAGAGATTTTATGTGCTTTGTTCTTAAGAAAACAAGTTCAAAAGAAAATGCCTCAGCCTTTTTTCCCTTGATAATAATTTGCTTTGTTCCTAAATGTTGAAGCTGATCTGGGGAACATGGCGCTGAGGTTAAGGGTGAAAAACAGACAGATTTTTGAGAGATGAGGTGAGCCAGGGCAGCTGTGTCTGTTTTACTACTTCTGTCAATCCTTGCCCTACTAGTCTGGGCAGAATCAGGTGCCCAACGTGACAGGAACGTTTGGCTGGTTATTGATTTCCAGTGCCATGACTGACTTGGGTTTGGTTCTCCCACTCTTGTGCAGCTTACCAAGGGAAGACATCCGTCAGCACGGTGGGTACCTCCACCTCCGCTTACCGCCTGAGCCTGGCCACCATGTCCCGCTCCAACACCGGCACTGGCACAGTCTGGGAGCAGGACAGCGAGCCTTCCCAGCAGGCCTCTCAGGACACGCTGAGCCGCACAGATGAGGAGGACGAAGAAAGTACGTGGCTACTGATCTGAGCTAAGCCCCCCCAACATTGGAGATGTTTTCTTGATGCCCCAGAGGACAGCTGGAAGGGAAAGACAATCGTCCCTGTCCCAATATGAACAAAAGGCTCACAGAGGCACGAGGCTAAGAAACTGGTGTGGTTGCTACACAGGTCATGGTGTTAAAGCTTGGGTCATTACACACTCTCTCATTCCCTCCTGAGCCCTGACTAGGGAAAACGGAAGGGTACAGGCAGATTTGTAGTGTATGAGACCTGGGCTGACATGCAACCCTCACAGTGCTGACACAGTGTTTGTCAATCAGTCCTCTCTTTGGCACTTATCACAACAGCAGGCAGGGGCTGTGGCTGGCTCTGCCGTTAGGACCCTGTTCGTGCAGGATCTTAGGACTTCCTGCTCATCATTTCTGTGCAGATGCTCAGATGTGCAATATGTTGTCCTTGTGCTGCATGGGATCCAGCTGTGGCTCTCTGCAGAGTGGAATGTCTGCTCTTGTGTCACTTGATTAACAAAAAGGAAATTATTCCTTGATCTTCCTTTTGGGCAGCTGGCACGTTCTAGGGTTGCCAGGCTTTCTGGCGCCAGTTTAGAAGGAATGGGATGGTGAACCTTTTGGGGAATAATTTGCGATGACCTGAATGTTGCTTTGTCATTTCAGCTGAGTTTCATGTTATTCTTGGAATTTTGCTTTCTCTCTGCTTCTGAGTTGTCCATCACTGAAAGCCAGGATAGAAAACTCTGCTCCTAAGTCATCAGGCTTGGGCTTCCCCCTACTTTAGCAGGGGTACCGTCTTCCGGTGCTGCAGCGGTCGGCTGCCTCAGTGCCCAAAACTCATGTGCTTCACTTCTGTATTTGAGGACCGCTGACTGTTCCCCAAAGATACTAAACAAAAGGAGAGAAAATGGGTGGCTCAGAAGAAACACCTGTGTAGTTACGGCTCTGCCTTTTGGGAAGGAAGACTTAGCCTGAAACTTTCCAGGCTAAAAGCAACTTTATCTTAGCTGGGTTCATCCCTAAGCATCGCACTATCCACCCCGTATTGTACTACTGATACGTTGCTCTGATACCCCCTGTAGCAAACTCGGGTTTCAGCCTGAGATTATTTATGAGGCACGGTGTGGAACAATGAGTGCTATCTTCCTATTTGCTTGTAGCAGTATTACCTCAGTCCTGCCTTGGCTTAATGCTGCCATGAAATATTTCAGTATATCAACATTGGGAAAGGTCAAAAAGAAAAGAGAAAATTACACAAAACTTCCATTTTGTTTATTTTTAATTGGAAGTTGTTGTGGTAAAAACCACAGCAGAGTCATTTCTTTCCAGGTACTTTATATAACTGGAAACAGCACTGAAAATTTTCAGCCATCACAGTCTGTCTGCATAATTCAGTTTGAGTATGATGTATTTGAGTCAATTTATGTATGTCCCAAAGGGTGTTATAGGGTGTCGGTTCTACATTTTGCTGTTAGGTATTTTATCTTCTGTAACAGTGCTTTGCTATATCATAGCAGCAGTTTATTTCTCACCAGCAAAATGTCCAGTTACAACTTTTATGCCAGAAAACATGGTATATTAACAAATAATTTATTAATCTCAGGAATTAAGCCCTAGTGGAACTAAATTCCCCAAACATATTAGCTGAAAGCATACATAAATCTCTGCCCGCTGTGTGCTGGGTTCCTCATCCTGCAGGGTTTTGTGCATACGTCTTTCTGAATCGTGACCGTACAATCTAATGGAAGTATTCGAATTTGCAGGCTTCGGGTAAGTAAATGCTGGCTGGGTACATCTTTGACATCCTGTTACCTTTTGGCAACTGTAAATATGTAGGTGGGGTTTGGGGTGCTTGTTTCCTCTCCTTCCCTGTTTTTTCTTTCTTTCTAGATGACTCCCTGAGCATGCCCAGTGTGGTAAGTGAACAAGAAGCATACCTTATGGGTGCCGTTGGGAGGAGGCGGTTCTCCAGCCATCTCTCCAGCGTGTCTGCACCTCAGGCTGAGGTGGGCATGTTACCCAGCCAAAGGTAACAACATGGGCTTTTCACCTTTCCCATTATATTCACGAGAGCAGAAATGGCACAGGTATATTACATGTACATTAGAGATGGGGGATAGTAGAATCAGTGCCAGCATAGTGACACTAAATTTATTCATCGTGAAATAGCACTGGACCAAGGCCGCAGGGTTGGAAATGATTTTCCAGGATGATCTGTGTTGCGTAAGGGCCATAAGAACAAGTTGTCATCCACAGAACCCTTCCTCCTAAACAGTTTCAGAAACCCTCAGCACTACTGTTTTCCTCTGCTACTACTGTGGATAGCAAGAAGAAGACACAGGATTCTGGGGTTGTGCATTGAACCAGGGGACCATACCCAATCTGTGTAGGGAGTGGGGCAGAATCCTGGGAAGCTAGGAAGGGGGCAGAAGCATCCTGTTTGATTTACTTCATTTTCTTCCATGTAGTCTTTGTCCTTCCTAGAACAATAACTAGCCCATTACAGAACGTGAATGTCAAGTTCAAAGATGGGATTTAATACTCTTTAAACTCAGAAATACACTTGTTGATAGAAATAATTTGAATGCTTTATTCCTGGTTAACATGGAGTGGTGAGAAAGAGATCGGAATTTGGGAAATGTATATCTTGATAAGATATAGAGAGATGTTTTGCATTTAAATGTGATTTTTTTTTTGAAGCAAGCAATGTTTATTGTTTTATCTGTTTGCGACATAGTTATCCAAGGATATCTGACAATAGACACATTCATTATGTTACTTCCTTTGAACCTTTAAAAAGTAAATTCTACATTTTCTCTTGACCAGCCTTGGAAAATGAAACAACATTATTCCCTCCCCAGTCTTCCTTGGAATTAAAGAAATAACCTTGATATATGAAGGAAGAGTAACAGCTGTGGTACATACCAGCAGAGATAGAAGTGATTTACAGAAGTGACACAGATTTTATCTGGGAGTTTTCACAAAAGGGCTTGCAGGAACTCATTTGACATTTGAACTCAGTTGACTCAGTCCCTTTGTTTCTTGAAAAATTAATATGCAAGATTGCATTTTCCTGAATCTTTCACTACCATCTTCAATGCATAAACTTCATGAGAGTCACAGCTGACTGATAGCGATGTTTGCTTTGTTCAATCCCAAGTCATGGTGATGCTGAGAAAAAAGACTTCAATTACAACAGAGCTTCATTCTCTGCTTTTAAAGTACATGGTACACCAGGAGAATTGCTTTTCATCTCTGTAGGGAAAGTACAAGCTCAGTAAGCATAATCATAGCCCACAACGTTATGCCCTTTTTAGTTATGGATGGTCTCTGGGCATTCAGACTGCCTCACAAACGTAACCTAATTAATGTTAACTATTATTGCTTTCCTGCTGGTAACCCAGCAGACTGCTTTCTCTCTTTCATGTTTTTCCTGCGGGCTGAGAGGGCTGCTCCTGCCCGAATGGCTGAAGGTTAGGAAAGCAATGTGACTGTGTACTTGTTTGCTAGGATTCACACCGGCTGTTTACTTACAGTTTCATTATACTACAAGACCTTGTTTTCCAGATGTTTGTCCTTAGACTTGTACCAGAAGGAGAGTAGTCTATAGCTCATGGGAGGTAGATTAGCCCTCCCTCAGGAAGTAGAGGCTCTTGGGGAAGTGGGAAGAAAAAACCCTTTATATGAAGCTGGAAATAAATAGAACCAAAATAAGTAAAAATACTGCAGGAGAATGGCTTTGAAACAGTTCCCTGCCCTTATTTCCTGTGGAACGACATCTTAGCGAACATGCCAGCTCCCCAATTCTCAGCACATATGTAGAAGTCTCCATGTAGCATAAACTCCCTCTGAAGACTACTCCTGTTATCAGATATTCTTTCAGCTCCTCTGAGTCATATATATGCTGTTGAGCATGCGAGACCAATTAATGTTTCTGTCCTTTTTTTTTTACTTACTTTTTTAATTCCGTTGATATTTTTTTCCCTTGAAAACAGAGACAATCGCATGCTTTTTGCATTTTCTTTCCATAAATTCTTAATCTCCCTGCCCCTCCTGCAGTGAACCTAATGTCCTCGATGACTCCCCGAGCCTGGCCACTGAGGGCAGCCTCTCTAGGTACAGTGTTAACACTACCTGTCTGTCAGTGTGTGTGCTGGGAAACGAGCCGTTTCCAACCTCCTCTGTCTCTTCCCCTCACCTTTTTGTTGCTCTCTCCATCTCTGTCTCTTGTGGCTCATTGATATTCAGGCCTGCAAGTCAAAGGTGTAGCAACCCACCTTCAGTTTTCAGCTTTGATTGCCAGTAACTTTGAGGAGGCTAAGGGGAAGGGGAAAGAAAAAGCCGTAGCAAGTGAAATACCGGTCTGGCTGGCTAGCCTCAGGGTTTTCCCCTTGTTTAGCAATTGCTTGAAAGGCATGAGAAAGATTATCCGTGAGGCATTAGCTGTAGCCTGTTAGAAGCATTAGTCTGGAGGCTTATATAAAACAGAGACATCTGTTTTTCCATTCATCTCACAATGCTATTACCACAAAAGACTTAATATCCAGCTGTGTTCTTTAACATTCACTAACAAAACTAATTATGATAAGTCCTGTGGAATATAGTTCTCTGTGGATACTTTGCAGTAATTCTCATTATTGTTACAAAGTGTTTCCAAATCTCAAATGACACCTTAGAAAGCTTGCAGGTAAACATCATAAATACATATCTAAAATTGACCTGCCGGTGGTGGATTTCAGGACTAGCTGTTCCCTGTCATCTGTGGAGAGGAGAGTTTGTGTGCAAACACTGTTGCAGCCGTGTCTCTCAAAATGGGTCAGGAGCAAGCTTAGAAGGCAGGTCTGCACCTTTAACAGCCAGCTCAGTCATGTTAATCATCCTTACTGTTCTACTGCTGAGCTCACATCTCTCAACCCATCCTGGTGAGGTCAGAGAGCTGTCGTTAGTCCTAAGAGTGTCCCTGTTCCCTTCCAGAAGAACGTGGCCCCTCACATTGGCAGCACGGAGGGTAACACACAATTTCACCACTTTACCAGACCAGTTGAAGATGTGGATATGTTGAGAGGCATTTGCGTGTATGGTTTCTATTTTGTTAGCTTGGTTTTAGATGTCAGTAGTGGCTTTTTGGGGTGCGGAGAGGCTGCTTTGTTCGTTTGTTCATTCTTCTCGGCTGAAAAATGGAGAGTTTATCATTGGTGGAGTCACTGAGACCATCCCATGATTCATGTTGTCCTTTGTGTGCGTGAATCCTGCCTTGGCAGACCAGTCTCTAATTGATGCTATTGTGGGAGCAGCATTAGGAAAAGACATCGACTTGTTGGCAGAGCCAGGAATATTGTTATCTGGTTTAGTGATAAAGCAAAATGCATTGCGTGGTCATCTAAGCATTTTTTAGGGCCTAAAGATACAGAAGTCATTCAACCAAAGTGCCCTCTCTTAAGAGCTAAGAACTCACTGCAGTTAAGGAGGGTGACAAAGGAGAAGGTCCGTAGCTGAGTAAAGCTGTAGTGACTTGATACCAGGTTACATCAGTGTTAAATTTCAGGTGTTTTGATCTTGTTAAGTGGAGAAGGGAGTCACTCCAAATAACAGTGGTTAGGCTGAGCCATAAGAGACAGCTAAGTCAACAGATGAGTTCAAATGCAACAGTTTATTTTGAACCCTGAAATGTAATCACCTCTACAGTGTGTTCCTACTAATTCTTTTCACATCAATTTTTGCTAGGGACCGGGACACTGTCCGCCACTCTGCTCTTTGGTGCAGAGATTTCCTTGGGAAAAAAAAGTTTAACAAATGTACTTGGGAGTCACTTTTGCTGAAGTTTATTATTATTTGCAAGGAGCAGGGACTATCTTCTGAAGGAGGGGCACTAGGGCTGCAGAGCTTTTGAAAGAATGAAGACAGAAATACTGCAAATGTTTATAAAAACGCTAGGTGAGAGCTCTGTCAGGAAGAAAAGATGTTTCAACTGCATTATTAAATGTGCTGTGGGGATCATAGGACAGAATTAGTGTGTTTTTATATTCAGGAACACTAGTTTTGAATAAAGCAGGCTTGAGTTTTTCTTACGTAACTTTGATTTCAGCTGAAGCACAACGATTGCAACTGTCTAGGATTGCCTTCTGAATTCAACAGCTGATGTTGAGTCATAACGGACATAAAGAAATAAATCATATGGAGACTAGATCCTTATGGAAGGTAGGAGTTTTAAATAAATCAAATAAATAGTGACAGACACAAAAAAGAATAAAGTCTGTTTCCCTTTGTTCTATAGAAATCAGAGCTAGCCATGTAGAAAAGCAGGGAAGACAGGAAGATGACACCATTTAAGCTCTCAGAAATAAACAGATAGCATGGGCTACAGGGCTGAGGAGCATATGTGTCCAGCATTGTGATTTGTTGCAGTTATAATCTGAGAGGATATTCTCCCAGATCAGAAAGGAAGAAGAATGAGAAGTGACTGTAATGGAAATCAGTTGCACAAACACATTTCCCTTTAATGTTTGTCATTACGCCTATCTTAGCTTAATTGTGCCTAATAGGGAAAATCAGAGTGAAATCACATTGCCAGGGCAAGCGTAGCAGATCTAGCACTAACTGGGCTGGGATGTGTCTGGGAATACAAGAGCTGGAGTTCATCTACATTTTAACCCATTCTCCACTGGCCTCTGCCACTAACCCTCTCATTCAGAAGACACAAAAGAGTGTATGTTCTACCACAATGGTGTGGCAAGCATGTACATCTTTATAATAGACGTTTAAACTCTTTGCTTCCTTTGTTGCTGTTTTGGGGGTTTTTTTTCTTTCTTTTCTTTGGTTTTTTTTATTTTTTTGGCTGTGTAGTTCTTGTAATTCATGAGCATCATTTATTATCATTGCCAACCTGACAAAAGTTTATTTTCTCCCCCCACATGTGACTGCACTGGCTGTCATTTCTTGTAGTGCTGGCAACATGCTTCCACAAAGTTAGGTTGGTTTTATCTTTTGCTCAGCTGTCTCTGCTCTAACTACGCAATGGTAGTAACATCATTGTGAAGATAAAACCCCTGAGAGAGACACTCAGGAGAGCGACAGAGCATCTTTGCGTTGGGCAGGAAAAACTTCTGTTTTGCTGTTCCCAAATAAATCTGGCTTAGGTACTGCAGAAAAACCTTGCTGATCAATCACATTGCCACGGGAGGGGAAACGCACCCTCAGCTGGAATGGCTTTTGATTCAGTGTTCCTTGATTGGGTCCCACAGGCTGCCAGGAAAACAGTATATTCCTGATGAGGTCTGGTAAACAAGGAAAAACAGAAAAGGAGGGAGGGAGGGCTACACAGAGCCAACAGTCTGCCTGCCATCCTAATTTTCAAGGAAACAAGATGAGTAGCGCTGTTCTTTGATGTGAAAAGAAACCCTCACAAAGCAAAAGATTGTATCTGAAAATTTATCTGAAATTTGTAGTCTTTATGATTCTGCCTTTCCTTCTCTTCTTCAAAATTTGGGGAGGGGAGGCAGAAAGACAACCACAGCAGGAGGACGGTGCTGCGTGCAGGCAGCTCTGCACAGCTCAGCTGCTCTTGGGTCCACCATTAGCCTGCAGTAGAAATCTGCAATTTCAGCTCATAAGATCACCCCGAATTATACCAATTTGTGTAATGATTCAGTACTGGAAATAAACACGCACCAGTTCACTAAACTCATTTCAGTTATGATATAAGCCAGGCTGAAAATCCCAGGCTCCAGCAGGAAAACACAAAGTCCAGCCTTTCTTTTGCTCCATCTATTGTTTGTCTTCAGTGCACAGATGACTCCATGGGAATAATTTTTTTCCTCATGTATGTATGGCCTCTGTGCCCTCATGCAGTCCATGCACTCCCTTTATCTAATGACTTTTTCAAAGTGTTTTCATGATGCATGTGAAGTGAGTATGTTATAAACAGTGTTTTGTACTGAATATAATTGTAGTCTTTCTGCTCCAGACATTTATGTCTCATCACTCATAGAACTAAGAGTTACTGTTCCTTCATCACAAATTGTAACAAAAGCTAGTACAAAACAAAATTATTTTAAAGGACTTTCTCCAGCTAATTCTGATTTAATTCACATGCTGGTAACTACTCTAAAAACATCACAAAATTCAGAGGAATCAGTTTTTATGTAATCCTAGGAACAGAGGAGTAAGAAGACCCTACAAGCTGTCATTTCAGGTACTCTGGATCACAAATCTAAAAACTAATTTAAGTGCAGTCTCTCTCCTTTAATAAGGGACGTTATATTGCTTCTGGACCTACCAGTCATATGTGCTGCAGTCAGTATCTGGGTCAGGAACACAGTCCTACTAACAGGAAGTAACTTTGAAGGCTCTTCTTACTCATAGTTGAGTGTTTGCATGATGTTTAGGATACTTTGTATGTAAGTCATGTCAATACTCTACTTAAAAGCTGGAAAATATGTTCCAGAGACTGGTGATCTCATTTGGAAGACCTATCTGAGGGAGAAAAGGACTCAAATACATCTTGTTTGTTCTGTCTTCGAGCTTGCAGCAGCTTTTCCTTTTTTTTTTTTTTTTTTTTTTTCCCCCAAACCATTGCAGCTGTAGTGAGATTGCTGAGGGCATGCCTGGGATTATTAGGCTGTGGTCAGGCAATCAGAAGAGAAACAGCCTCAGGGTCTTAAGTTGTCTCTCCTTGAAGGGTCCCATTGAAGTTGCCCATTTTTCCCCTAGTAGGGCTGGCAGAAACACGCGCATGTTTTAGTGCAAAGCCTGGCTTTAGTTTAAACTGATAAGAGAGGAAGGAATAGGACCTTCGGGTCCGGTAACCAGACTATGACCCAAAGCAGATCAGAAAGCTCTCATGTTTTGTTACTTCAAACCTTTTAAGGGCAAAAACTTCTGCCACAGCGAAGAACAAACTGTTCAGGAGACAGAACTTTTTAAGCCTCTCCACAGACATCCTCCATGTCTTGTCTGACCACGTCCTTAGTTTTGTCTTCTTCCTCCGTTCAGGCAATAAACCTTCACTCTTTTGGTGATACTGAGGTTCTCAAGGGAGATCCAAGGAAAAATCTCAAGAATGTTGTTTTCCTTTAGATTAATGGCCAAAGGCAAAATGGATTGTAAGACTGAATCTTCAGCAAAGCATACCAGATATAGCTGGAAGTTGCTTAAATAGAACGTGTGGCTCAGTAGATTCCAGTCTGTTCCAAATAAGCTGCCTGATTTAAAGGAAATCGGTCTTAAATGTTAGTTGCTATTGTAACCATATGTCCCTCAGACATAGTTCATTCAGCTAAAATGTTTTGTGACTGCTGTCTGCAAAATGACCAATTTGTAACTGTTTGGAGGAATACAGTGCTTTGATAAAAATGAGGGGAGGATGATATGTTTATATTAAGTAGATTAAATGGCCAGTTGAATGGTAGAATGAGATGGTATGTAGCCAAGCATGTTTTCTTGCTAAAGACTCTTTTACTGCAGATTTTCAGGTATTTTGTGCCAAGATATAAAACCTAAAAAGCTGTGTTTATATATACGCACATATAATTTACCTTTATTTGTCTTTTTTGTTTGTTAGCCACAAAAAGACTTAAGGCTGCAAGTGCTGAGTGTGGGGTCTTGTTCACATAACTCATGCATCCATTATGTGAATGGATCCTTTGTCACTTTGTGTTTGTTTTTTGTTTGTTGACTTAAATTGAAATTAAAACCAGATGACAAAATTGTGATGAGGCTGTGGAGTCTATCTGGGAGGAAAAAAAATGTAGCCTTTACAACATTGTCCTTGAAAAAAGGGAAAAATGAACAAGAAGGCTTTTGAGCTAGGAAGCTGATACTCTTGCCTTTATTGATGTGGTAAAGGATGCAGAGAAGTGAGTATTGCTCAGTGGGATGCACCAATCAATGACTGAAAACTGAAATCTGCAGTTACTTATATTTGGATGCTACCTGTACGTGGCTAAGTCCTGAATGCCATGACTCCACCTCCCACCCTTTCCTAAGCCCCAGAAGCCACAACCCAACAGACACGTCCTCCCTCCATCCTTCAAAGACAGTATTGCTCTTTGAAGTGACTGTGCCATTAGTGGTTGGTTGATTTATTTATTTTAGTCACAAGTGCCAGGACATCTACTAGTTACACAGAGTGCTTCTGTGCTTGGCCTAATGCTGTCAACATCTAACAGGGTGGCGAGCGTGCAGAGCGAGCCAGGACAGCAGAACCTTCTTCTGCAGCAGCCTCTGGGGCGGAAGAGAGGGCTACGGCAGGTGAGAACATGGGGAGCAAATGAACCCTCTCTCCTTCTGTTCGAGTTGGTTTGTTTTTTCTCATCTGGGTCTATTTTGAAACAATTTGTGGATGTGGTGTGTCCCATTTACCCGATTTGTGATGTATTAGTGCAGTGTGTTGAGCTAGCAGAAATCATAGCACAGGTTGCATCTTCGAGGCTTGACAAATTCTTGAGAGAAGGTGCGCTTTGTTTTGAATTCCCCAATCTTCTCCTCTGAGGTTGGTGGTATTTTTTTTTCAATTTAAATTAAACAATGGTCACACAATCTGCATTGCATTACATTCAGTATTGAAACTGAAAAGGAACAAACCCCAGAAGGTCATATGAGGGAGATGTCTGAGCCATGGAAACCATAAAACATATCTGCTATAAGTAGAGTGATGGACATCTAGAGGAATAGACAATGATGATTTGTTCACCTTACAGAGGAGAAGTTGTGTAATATGTGAACACAGAATCATAGAATCACAGAAAGGTTTGGGTTGGAAGGGACCTTAAAGATTCTCTAGTTCCTACCCCCCTGCCATGGGCAGGGACACCTCCCACTAGACCAGGGTGCTCCAAGCCCCGTCCAACATCCCTGTGAACTACATACATCAGCCTAACTCTTTCTTCCAATGTTTAGCTTCGACGACCACTGCTGTCACGTCAGAAAACTCAAACTGAACCTCGGAGCCGTCATGGAGCTCGACTTTCAACCACGCGACGGAGCATCCAGCCGAAACCAAAACCTAGCGGTAGGGCAGTGCTGCATTTCCAGAACTAGTCCTCCATAACTCAAAATAGAAAATACTATGTCCTTGTTTTAGTTTAAAAGAAAAGTTAGTATGTTGTTAATAGTCTGTATTGAAGTGAAGTCCCAGCAATTCTACCCTTTTTCCTAGTGGGTGGCTATCCTATCAGCAAATCACCCCCTCAAAATGTTTTGATGGTTTCTCCAAAGGTTTTCAAGGGGAAACTGGACATAGACAGTGAATTACCATGTCTCCTAGAGGTGAGGAGAATTTAGGGGACAGATGTTCTCTGTTCAGGATGTCTTGTCCAAAACTTCCAGATGTGCAAATTTTGAAGCTGTTATTAAGACTACTAGAAAGAAAGACCTTTCCCACCATTTGTGTTCTGTACCACCCAAAGGGAGCAGCTTAACTCTGGAGGAAACGCAAGGGTTGCCTGCAAACTTCCTGGGTTTCTAACCACTCTGCCAGGACTGTGCTGGGGCAGCAGCGCTGCTGGAAATGTGTGATCCAAAATAATTAAGAGCAGGAGTTGGGGATCAGTTTTTCTGTTAAGTTGTAGCCTAGTTGTCTTCACCCTGCACTGTGCTGTTATTCCCAGATGGTGGACTCAGTCTACAGGTATGTCGAGGCAGTCAGCTGCCCTCTTTCTTTTCTCAGATTTCCTGCAGAACCTTGGGCAATTCTCTCATATATTTACAGCTCAGTTTTCCTTTTTTAGTTGAGGGCAGAAATGCCTAACTTGCACGGGAAGTCAGTATAGTCTTCTGGGGTGGGAAGATGTTATGGGTGGCATTTATTTCACCAAGCCATGACAAAGGTAGGTAGAGTGACCAGCCTTCAGGAGATCCCCGACTCTTGCTGTGGCTTTAGAGGAAGCCCAGGCTTTTAGATTCGACTCCAGTCAGACAGCTTATAAAGATAGAATGAATCATAAATCCTGTCTCGCTGTAAAAACTCCAGAGATTCTCTCTTCTCGTTGGGTTTTCCTTCCCAAACTAGAGCATTTTAATACTCATTTTTCTGGGCTTTGTACCCTTCAGCGGAGCAGAAGCGGTCAGTGACTTTCACTGAAGAGCAGCCTGAGGCAACAACAGCCTCCGCAGGGGACGCATCATCTCCTGCAGCCCAGCAGCAGGGCTGTGCCCGCAGCAGCCCCCAGGCTGCCAGCAAGCAGGAACCGCTGAGCAAACCCATGCTGACGTCCTCACCTGCCATCGTCGTTGCTGATCTCCATAGCCAGACCACCAGCCAGGTAATGTGACCAACGGTTTTATCCCGTGTGTCTGTCTGCTGCTTCATCGGAGCTGCAGGGCGAATGTGTAGTGAAATGCCTGCTGCGATATGGCATCAGCAAAAGCTGGTGCATAAGTGAAGACAGAAAACTCTTCTGTCTGTCTCTTCTTTAGGCTGAATTTGCTTCTAGATCTATACAACGATTCTTACTGCATCACTCCCTTCCATGTTCCCATCACATACAGTGGTCCTTCGGGACCTGCTCACTAGCACAAGTTTTCATCAACAAGTTTTTAAAACTTGCTGAGAAATATGTCCTTAGGGAAGGACTCCTTCATCACCTCAGTGCTGCTTTGGTAAAAGCATGGCATTCCAAAAGAAACATTTTTCTGGTTGGACGCCACTGAGGTCAATGCAGGGACAATCAAGTCCATTCCTTCAACACATCGCTGACACCGAGATGGCTTTTAAATACCCAGATATCTGGTGTCTTTTAGGGGTTATGTTCTTTGCCATGAACAAATGAAAGACATCCGTCTTGTGAATACACTAGGAAAAAATTAAAGAGGAAGAGCTAATGACTGAAATCAGATAACCCTTCTCATTGTTGCTACAAATTTGATTCACTAGCAAAAATATATCAGGGCAAAATTTTGGGGATTTATGATCTCCAAGTGCCTGGCTGTTTATGGCAAAAGTATTTCCAAATGAGAAAGCACTTTAAAGATAGATGTTCTGTAGCTTTTTTCCCCCTCTCCCTCCCACTTTGTGTGTGACCACTGGCTCTCCTCAACTGCAGAGTGAGGAACTTCCCGCCGAGAAGGAGAAGGAAAAAGAGGAGGGTCTGGAATCCCGGCCAACAACAGCTCAAAGCACCCCACCCACCCAGCTCTCTGACACCGAGGACTACGCTGGCCTCGAGACCACCAGCTTGCTGCAGCATGGGGACACCATCCTTCATATCAGTGAGGACAACGGGATGGAGAACCCCTTGCTGACAACTCACTTCAGCTTCACGCACGTGGAGCTCGGGGAGACTGATGTTGACCTTGACGAATCTCATGTTTAACTCCTGGGGAAATGAAGTAGCAGGAGGTGGAAGAGAAAGTACCTTCTCCCAGTAACTAGTAACTAATTAAAACAAGAGCACTTTATTATCCAAAAGTAGAAAATAGCTAACAGCTAGCTGCTGTAGGTCGGAAAATTTCTGTTTGTGAATTCTATTTCGGTTCAGGGCAAGAGTGCAAGAACAGAGAATTTTCACAAAATTCTCAGGGTAGGGGTGAGTGGGCAGATACATGGTCCATAAAATCTTGATCTGGCAGCCATGCACTGTGATCAGCAGCTGCGATGGGTAAGCGGGCTGCTGTCCTTTATGAGACAGAGACGAAAAGCTTCTTTTTGAGATTGTGCCCAAGATTTATTTTTGTAACGTTTTTGAGAGGAAGGCTTATATAGTAGCTGAATCCAAGGCTCTTACCTGCTGGTACTGACAGTGAAAACACTGACAAAAAGTACCAACCTAAAGCTTGATTTTCACAAGCCTGGGACCATCATTTTTAACTTGCAGAGCAATGATAAGCACGATGGAGCAATTAGACTTTTTAGTTGTGGTTTGGGGTTTTTTTTTTGCACCGCAGATGTTAGTTAAGTTTACTTTTGTCTGTTGGTTTCATTCCATTCTGTAAGATATTGCCCTTGTGCTACAAAAATATTTGCTCTGTAAAACTAAATGCAGTACATACTGTGAGGAGGAATGCACGTGCTGTGCGCAGATAGAGATGGGCAGGGGGCAAATGGTCTGCAGATGGCATAAATAGCCCATGCTGTCCTGCATAAATGTACCAAGTAATTCATCTCCACAGCTTAAAAAAAAAAACCAAGAAACCGCATCTGGAACACAGGGACCTTCTGGTACCTAGCAACTGCTCCTCTGATGCTGTCATATGTACTTAGATGTAGGGATTCAAAGTAAATATTTATATATGGTATTTTCATGTTCCTATATATAAAAATATAAATATATATGTACACTGTAAAAGAAGATGGATATTGCAGGGCAGAAACTTGATGAAAGAATCTATTTTTGGCATGTTGAGATGTATTTAAAGGTTCCATTTTATGTATGTAATGTTCATGGCTGCAAGTATTAGGCATATATA